AAAACAGGGTGCTTAGTGCTGTAGTATGGTCCCACAATCTGGGATGAGGGCTGTAACATAACAAAACAAACAAAAATGAAAAGCAACACACATTCCAGACTGGAATTCCTTGGTCAAGCCTTATCGGGGAGGGCCAGTGTCAAGTAACATCACTTGTAGAGGCCTTGAATGAATTTAGGCCCCAAACCCAGCACAAGGCACAGTTTTCCTAGGAATCATGCTCTTTGGTTAGTATGTAGAATTGCATGAAGGGAGATGCTGCCGCATGAGGCATTCTGCACTCTGAAGGTAAGCTAAAACATGACAGGTTCTCTAAAATGAACAGATTAAAAAGGATACAATACAAATTGGCATTCCTTAGCTAGGTCAGAACCAAGGACCAGAAATAAACATTCTACAATGCGGGATTCATATGGCGCACAAGGCCCCTGGCAAAACGTTCTATTGAAAGCAGTTTTGGCAGTAAACACTTGAGCCAGCACTATATAAAATCAATTTAAACTAAGTTATCTAGCTTTGGAGTGAAAATAAACTCAGACAAGCTGCAGAGATAAATGTATAATCAGTGTCAGCAGGAACAAAGCGAGTATGGCAAGAACAATACGTATGCAGCGACTTTCTTGTTAGGAGGTTCGGAAAACAGGATGTTGGACTGAGACAGAACAATTCCACAGAGACCACGGTGAAAATAGAAGACGGAAAGGTTCCAGCTGCTCGTTATAAAAAAAATCCAACAAGATTGTACTGAATAAAGAAGTTCCAGCGCTAGACATGTGGGAAATGGAGCCTACCTGCAGCAACCAGATTTCACTTTATTACTTTATACATCTTCAGTAAGGATTGCAAAATATCGGAGTTTTATGCAAATTGCAGCAACACTTCAGGTGACGGTCCTAAAGCGCCAGCCACAGCAACACTTCAGGTGACGGTCCTAAAGCGCCAGCCACAGCAACACTTCAGGTGACGGTCCTAAAGCGCCAGCCACAGCAACACTTCAGGTGACGGTCCCCGGCTCTTAGCCACAGCAACGATTGAGGTGATGCTTCTTGGTGCTCAGCCACAGCAACACTTCAGGCGACTCAGTTGTGAGCCAATAGTCTTGCATTGCACGTAAGTACAACCAGGGCCTTCCACAACCAGGAGCAACAGGGAGAAGAGGAAAACGCTGAAGCCGCTAGAGTAAGGAATAAAGCAAGTATATGTTATTCCTCTTCTCCTAGACTTAAATCGGCTTTTTCTACAGTCCCCGAGGTTCACCTTTTAAGAAGCCTAAAGGAAATTTACTGCAATGATCCTTTGTTACACATACAGCCAAGATGCACCAAGTCTGCAACAGGTACTGAACTTGAATACAAATAAAAGGTCCGCATATGCTTACAACAGGGTGAAACATTTGAAAGTAAAACAGACTTTATCACAACCGCTTTAATTATCAATACACCTCATATTCATGGCACATGGATCTTTAGCCCATACCGCCACTATCTCTTTGTTGCCAATTAGCTTTTTGACAGAGGTTTTGGGGCCAGCAGAAGGCTTAGAATGTGCTGGCTTTTTCCTGGTGTGACAGCTCTGGCCTCATCTGCCCACTGATCTGAGATGATTGATCAATGTTCAAGCAATAAGAAATATCTACTTGACATGTACGTCATACGCCTGTCACTGCAAATTTACACAGGATGTTTGCCCTTGTTTTCCAACCTATGCTACAAAACTGACAGCTAGAGTATAATCGGTTACTGAAGGCAACTCATGTTATACAAGTCCAGCTTTGAGAAATCAGCCACATTATGCTACGGCAGCACTTTGAATTTTAAACTCTGGTCGAAACTTCCTTTTAAAGCCAAAAAACTTTTCATGAAAAACAAAAAAAAGGGGAAAGATTGCATGTTGGGTCATTTTTTTAAATCTAAACCCCAGGGAGATAAAGTACAAATCAATGCAGCTCTTTATGTATTAATATATTAAAAATGTATTTGTTTAATGTAATCAGTGTATAGTAAGTACAGGACTATCAGAACCTTAACATGACATCAAGAGATATGGTGTGACAATTCAACTGTGTAAGTAGGGTTACATTGTCTACAAGTAGTCGTGATAACAGAGGACCTCCTAATCATTCTCTAAGTGGAGAGGAAATACAATACAGAAGTTTAAATGGAAGGCAAGATGTCACAATGATCCATAAGGCTCCATTCACACACGCATAGCGGTAGCGTTTTCCGACGGAACAAAACCGTGCAAACGTTCACATATGCGCGGATTCCGCATGTTTGTAGTTATTACTATAGCCGGAACGTGCAAAATCTGCCCATAAAAATCACGCTTGGACTCTTTTGCGGGACGCGCGATTTCATACTGTGTGGACGCCGCAATAGTCTAAACAATGTACATTGCAATGCATTGGTTTTTTTTTATGTTTGGCCGAATACGCGCGGAAAACCTCCCATGTGTGAATGGCGCCTAAGGGGGTATGTGAACAGGTGGCAGAAGGTCTGTGCAAAGTGTGGAGAAGAGAGGAGGTAACACAGGATGGAGAAGCCAACGTCCCTAATTGCACTCAACTGGCTTGCAATTCTCAAGTACATGTGGAATCCAAGGAAAGCACCCATGCATTTTGTGTGGCTAGGCAAGATGGGTACCTGTCGTGGAGGAATGCTGCAAGTTACTTCACACTTTGCATGTAAATTCCTGGAGCCATTCTGAGACCGTTGGAACCTCTAGGAATTTCCTGTGCCGAGGGATTACAGCCCATGCTATATAAAAATCTTTATTAAAAAAAAAAACATTAAATAAAAAGGAGGATAGCCAGTTTACACATAATGCTAGGCTTTTCAATTGTATGGGATTGTGGAGAGGAAGGGTGTATCCCTCCACTGACTTATTCAGTCATTTAAAAAAAAAAAAAACTATTTTTCAATAAAGCTCGTCGTGTACTGGCCCAAAGTGAACACAAATCACCTTAGCACTTTAAAAAAAAAAACATGATACAAGTCAGATTTGCCCTTTAAGTAACTGTAGCATAAATGGTACACAGCCGCCCTAGGCCATCCTCGAGCTCCAAACACACAGAATACAAATTAGGTCACTTGGCACACATTCCAAATAGCTGTAACAAGCCCTATATTGCCCAGGGAAGAGACATTGTATTGAACTAAATGGCTCAACATACACAGGATGGCTAGCTTTCTAGGAATGCAAACTGAGGTTTCTGTCCACTTTTGATACGGCTGTCTGGTTCATATGGACTGGTCCCCTTGGTAGCCCATCCATTCCCACACACAGGAAAAATGATAACAATGAAGAGGGTGGGGTGAATACCAAAAGCACAGGACAAACATCTGCATCCAGCACCTGTGTTTACCCACTCTTGAAGCTGAACCCCAACCTCAGTCTGGTACAGTTCTACAGGAACCTCTCTTGGACTTAATTTGCTTACTCCACTGCACACTGTGAGCAAGTCAAATAATGCTCACATAATTTCCAGGCTGGCATTCAGCATCACCCAGCCTTTTCCTACCCAGTCTGACTGTTCCTGGTCTGCCACTTTCACTTACTAGATTTCAGATACGGCAATCATGGAGGCTCAGCATCACATCTGGGCATGACCTAGGGCAGTCTGCTTGCAAATGACACCTACCAATCATGGCATTTCTGATATTTACACAACTCCACCCAAGAGCCAACACACTGCTTGCATCAGGGTTGAGGGCTCTTGAGGAGTACGGAAATACTGTGATGTTTTTAGGAAGCCATGTACAGCATCCTGTTGGCTCCTTCTTCCAGTAATGATCTGCACAGAGAAACACAGACAAAAACCTACATACAACATGACTTCACCAGAACAGGAATAGAGAGAAAATCTTCCACAAGGGACATATTTTCAATTTCCAGCAAATAAAGAGTTTTGGCTTTAGATAGGGATGTTCAGATACCTAGTTCTGCACTTAATACAAGTACTGATAATTTTCAAGCTCCAAGATTAGACTAGAGAAAAACGGAATCGTTAGGAGGCAGCTGTCATTTCTAAGGAACATTGGTTATGGGGCTCCAGGGAAACATCCCTGATTATATATATATATATAT